TAAAACAATTAAAATTCATAAAGATTTATTTGAAATTTGTAACATTTGCTTTTAACCATAGAAAATAATTTCGCTAATATAAGTCATGGTTTACTAGATTTGTGTTTTGGCCCATAAAATCATCAAAAATATTAATCGGTTGATAAAATTTATACCAGTCGTTAAGATATAATTAAATAATAACATTTTTTAAAAGATAAAATTACTACCATGTTAATTATATTAAATATCTTTGCTGCTTTTTTATATGATTGAAAAGCTGAATGCTTGAAATCAATTGATTTATAACTTTCTTTGGTTTCATTGTAAAATAATTATCCCTAACATTGAACTTGGGTGAAAAAATTTATTTATTCATCTTTTTATTACCTATTAAAAACATAAATGTTTTCTTTTTAAAACAATACCTGGATAATTAGAAAAAAATACTATTTAATAAATAATAAGGATTATAAAATAAAACCAAAATTTTGTTTAAACAATATTTGTCTTATTTTTTAAATACTTTTAAAGAATTTTAAATTTGAGCCATGTTCATATTATTTTTTTTTAATTATGTGCTTGCTGTTCAAATAGAAACAGTAGGTTTTGGGTAAAGGGCTTAACAAGGTAGAGCGGACTTTTTTCTGAGGAAATTTACATTTATTTTTGGGCTCAAAAATACAGGTAGGTACTATTAAACATAAAAGAAAATGAAATGGAGGGGGTTATTTCAAATTGAATATACATATTATAATATTATTAACAGTTTTTGCCAGTAATACAAGTTTAAAAGGCATTTTATAAGAAAATAAAAAATACACCCTTTATGTAAAAACAATTGTTTTTGCTCGAAAGCAACTATTTTTTTATATTTTTGGTTCAAATTCTTTTTATCATTTGTAATATTTATTTTATAAATAATTAAAAATATGCTCTATTTTTAATATAAAATACATAGGGTAAAAAAATCTGTAACGTTAAATTTTAAAATGTGCTTTATAAAAATAACAGTTTTTAAAATTTGTGTGCCTATATTTTTCAATATAAATTATTTAAAAAGCAAAGTGTATAAGGCAATTTGTATGGACATGCAATTTTTGAGTATAGCTCCCTCCTTTTGATTAAAAAAGTTTATTCTGAAGCCATAATTTATGTATATCAAGCAATAACTAACATATCGCACATGGGCGACAACAGTGTCATAAGTCGAAAAAATTTAATTTTGGGGTTTTTAGTGCAATAAGTGTAAAATTACTCATAGTTGTATGTATGCAGCAACAGTGGCAAAAATATATTTTTGAAATTAATTCCTTGATGGAGACTTGTGTCTGTTTGCAATTTATATAATCCCTATCATAATTTTCATCAACAGTGTCATAAGTAAGTTGGCTGTAAGTTGTGACGGTAATTTTGTTAGCGTAGGTTAGTAAAATTAAAGTTGTCAACAATAAAAGAATGAATAAGTGACGCTCCTCACCTTAAGGCAAACAGTGTGTCTAGGGTCTCGTTTAACGCGTTCGTACGTTCATAGTGCTACCACCGCTATTGGTGTTTAAATTCATAAAATCAAATGATTTTACAGGTGATATAACAAAACCAAGTGCAAAAAGGGAATAATTTTTCCTGGATTACCAACACAGAAACAACACGTGCTAATAGTTGGCTGTCTATGTTAAGGAATAATTTCACAACACCTGCCTGTCAATGCACCCAAAGTCCTACCAAAATTGGATACATTAATAATACTTAAAAACTACATTTTTATGCTAAATTCGCAACCTTATAGAGAGCTCAACGAGGTAAAAATTAATTAGTCGCCAAAAGTTGACATAAGAACCGCAAGCATAGCCAAAGAACTCATAAATAAGGGCTCACATAAGCAGTCTTTAATCACTCCAGTTTAAATAAACACTAGGCAAAAGAAACTCATCCTAAAGAAAAAACATCTGTAGATTACTAAGCACAAACATAAATTACGTTCTATGCGAAATAATAAACAACCGCACAGTGGGGTTCAACGTTATCGATAGTCAGCAACCTCGGAATCCGATTTGAACAGACATGGACACATACGAACATGTTCCTGCAGGAAGTACTTCAAGACCAGATACGTCCTATCAGCGTACTAACCAACCGAGCCCCATCATGAACCAAAATTGAATTGGTTAATTACTAAATGTCCCTCAAAAACCAAAATGTTTTCCCTCCTTGTCTGCACTCAACTAGCCTAAATCTGGCGTATGGCCCGGCGAGAAAATTCTAGGAGTGACCTTAACCATCGACACTGTCATCCACGACCTCCTAAACGAGATTTACCAGCCGGGGTAAAAAATCGCATCATATTCTTAATTAACAATAAAAGAATGAATAATTTAAAAATTGATCAACACATTTTTAGCAATACAGACATATCTGCAAAATTCAGGCACATATTTTCAGCAACACAGACATATCTTCAAAATTGATGCACATCTTCTACGGCAACACAGACATATCTACAAATAGCTCTTATTCAAAAAGAGTATTTTTTAAAATATAATTTTTCACTGGCTCAGAATCTTAGTGTGGTTCCTCCTTTGCAAAGAAAATAGTGTAAGTTTATATAATTTTACAAATATGTTAGAATTTTGTTATAACAAAATTTTTGACGATCATTATCTCGGAATTAAGGTTTTACTACTTATGACACTGTTGTCGGCCCATGTGCGATATGTTATCCTCTATATTTTGTTTCTTAATTTTTCTATATTCCTTTCACAAATTTTAAATGTCTTCAGCATCATTGCATTTATTTTTCAAAACATTTGCCTAAATGCCTATAAAGGTACCTGTAAAAGAATAGGTAAAAGAGCATTGCATTTTAGAAACAGGTCTAGTATTCCTATAACTATAATATAATTATTACCTATAATTATAATATAATTATTATAATTATAATATAATTAATTAATCTTTTACAAGAACAAACACTTGAATAAAATTTCCACCAACTCCAACAAAATTTCTTTGTTCTTTTCGGAGGCTTTAAGCCGCAATTTTTGTTTTTCATACCTTCTAATGCAAATATACCAGAACACATTGCAAGCTGCGAACATAACCCATTTGTGTATGTTTTATATTGCGGCAATCCTCTTCAAACCAAGTTTTTATCAATAACTAGGTTTAGTCAGTTATAAATGTATTTATTTGAATATTTAATAATATATTTTAAAAATGTATTACTCTTATAATGTAATAAACACATATTTAAGTATATGTAAGATAACCTACAAATCTTAATGTCATTTAAAATTTGCTATGTTGCCAAATTGGTTCAAACTTAAATCAGTGGATATGCGTAAATCAGTTGATATAAATAAATCAACGTTTCTGAATACGGCGCTAAATATTCAAAAATAAATCATGTTAAGATAAAAACCTTTTCACACAGAGTCGAAATGAGAAACATTAACTAAGTACTATGCCAAAAGAAACAATTTGTAAGCGAAATTTGATGTATATCAATTTACAATAAATTAACAAAAACTTAAAAAGTTAATAAGGCCATACAAAAAAAATCGAGCTAACTTTAACAAACCCAGTAAGGGTTTTATTATTACATATGAATACTAGGAAAAATCAGTAAATCCGGTTTAAAATTGGAAAGTTTATATGGCGTCATCTAAAAGATTGTAGTACAAGATGGTAAAGCCATTTTTTTCAGCAATGTCTTTAAACAAGGGTACCTATTAATCAACTCTCCTATAAGATAATTCATAATAATCATGTCAGTCAATTTCACGTTAATCCTTAAAAATATTAATCGGTAAATGAGGCCGAATTCTAATGATTTTATACTTTTACGTATTCAAAACGTTTGGTATGTCTGATTTCTATTGATTTCCCGCGATTCTTCTGGTTTTAAAAGATTCTCTATGATTAATCATCTTTATGATTAATCATCATCAGTGTAAAAATCAATACAGAAATAATTCCAAATAAAGAAGCATAAAGTCATTACATTTTAAACAAATTAAAAATTAAAAGTGGAAAGTGGAAAAATAATCTTTTTTTACATTCCAATTATTATTATAAAAATATTTATTTTAAAACAATATTCAAAGGAGCAGGAAAACCCCAAAGAGGAAAATTTCAAATGAAAAATGTATTATAGTATGTTTATGGTTTTTCATAATTGGTTTGTTTATTTTAGTTAAAATTTGACATTGTTTAATTGTTTAAAAAAACAGCATATTTAAATTATATAAAACATATTATGGAAAAAGCAACTCATGATACTCAATTTAGTAAATAAACTTTAAGAAACCAGGTCTTGTGATGATTTATGTAATTAGTTTGATTTCAATTTGCTATTTTTGTCGCTTGTATACCCGGTTTTACCTGGTTAGCACGTAAATTTTAAAAACACCTATAAATAATGTACAGGGTACACCAAGTATCCTTCTATGTAAATACTTCTATGGGTGTTTTTTTATTACCTATATTAAAAGAAATTGGAAAGAAAAAGGCCAGCGGTTTTTAAAATATATAAAAAAGCTACACACCTTTCTAAACGAAAAATCGTTATAACTTTAATATCCCTGAGAATCAACATTTGACTTAGCATCAACATTTATTGTTTTTATAATGTCCACAATAATGTAGTTTGATACATCTCTGGCCTCCTTGATTTTTTTCTATCTAACCATGTAAAATTCCAATATGGAGGCCATGGGAAAATCAAAATCTAGTAGGCCAAAAAAATCACAAATTGGATAAAAATGTATATGAATGTGTATGTTTGGATGGGAACTTACTTTTTTTAATTCCTTTAAATAACGAAGTTTTTTTCAAATTACTTGGGAACCGCAGATTTTTTTTTTAATTTTTAAAGTCCATTTTAAAGTACATATATATTAAGCAACTTTTCTATAATTTAAACGACCACTTGAAAAAAAATATACCCATACATAGAAGTATACTTGGTGCACCCTGTATATATATTCAAAAAACTTTTTTATACAATTTTTAGAGTGATTTGGCCAAAATAATATCAACGATTCCATCTGGTCATCAATTGTCCCATTTTACCATACGTCTAACAAAAACTCACGCAATCACATGTGGATACGATGGCATGGTTTTGGTGCGTGATACGGAATTTCAGAAAGAAATCGCTTCATCGATGGTGCATCATCGCAGATTCGGTGGGGTAGGCATCGCATTCATAGATCCTTTGGAACAATATATCATTTCCTTTGGAAGAGAATCCGTTTTTACTTGTGCCAAACAAGTGGGAAACGTTATTTCCCTTAAAAAAAGGTTGGACCTAATGGATCTTATGAAGTCTCCAGTTTTCCAGGCGATTTTTAACAGAAAAACCAAAGGATTTTTTCCAGAAGGTGCAAGCAAAAGTCTAAATAATATAATAAGTTTACTTTTTAATTGTCTTATTAAGTAAGGAGGGAATCGTCTAATAAGAGACGTTTCGGGTTATAAAAGACACATTTGAGCAAGTACCACACAATATTAATATTATTATATCAGTCTGTCTACTAATCAACGAAGTGTTATTATAGACGCTTTTAGAAATATAATTTGCTATAGAAAATTATATTTTAATTTATTTAAACTATAGTGTATTCTAGGGCGATTAAAAAACATCAATTTTGAATTTGTATAGGTGAAAAAAGTTAAAAAATATTTAGAGCCCAAAAAAGTCAAATCGGTATATTTTTAGCGGGTTCAAAAGGCAAAAAAATGCAGAATTGTTTACGAAAAAACCTAAAAAAATTTAAAAGTTTGTTTTCATAAAATGTTGTATACATTCTTTAATATTAACTATAATTCAACAAAACTTAATACGATTGTCTGTGGTGAGATTTTAAACCAGCTCGCACAGTGAGGCAGCGGTTTTTTTTATATTAAAATATGTTTTTGTTATAAACAATATTTTTTTTATAATTCAATCCCAGAATAGTTTTCAGAGAATTTTAGACCTATGTTAAAAGGTCGACTGTTTTGCCTAGATACAGAATTCACTTAAGTTAAGATTCCGCTGCAAAAAACTATTTCTAATAGAGCCATTTATCCTCTTAATTTCCTAAATGCAGCATTTGTAACCTTATTGAGCACATTTACCTCTTAGAATTACATTTAAACCTTATTTACTTAAAACTTCTCTGGGCAAGGCCCGGAAAAATTGTCGTTTTGCGTTACGCTCTGTATTTATGAATGTATGAGTATGAATACAGTACCATCTAACCGATTGAGCTACCACAGAACATTTTGTTGAATTATATGGTTATTTTGTAAACAATAGCCTTTTGCCCTAGATAAAAATATATCAATTTGCTTTTCTAAATTTTGGTTAGACTCTTTAGAAACTTTTATAGCCCTAGTGTATACTAACGATTCATAAAATCGAGACGTCTCTTATAGTCCTGGCAAAGTTTAAAAAAAATATTTATCCTCTTTTTATTGATGTTGAAAAAAACATAAAAGTTCAAAAAATTAAATAAGGTTACACCCAAAGTCATTAGAAATATATTTTAGCCCCAGATGTGTACATAACATAAAACATAAACATTCTTTGGTGGATAGCTATACAAAAGTACAACTTAGGTTTTAGAAGTCTTGATTATCTTGTACAATTTGTTTATTTGTAACCGATCTCGCCGTTTTAGTAGTGTATAATTTTGGGCCAGCTTAACCTGCCCATGCCTTCGCGGTTGAACGTTAATTTGGTTTCAGATTCGCCAGGGTCGCAAGTTATAGCTTTTTCAATAAACCATTTTTCATAGTAGTACAATTCTGCCCTACTATGGAGAAAGGCAGTAACTGCAAAAAAATGCAAAATGCGTTTTCTTGTGCTATGGTAAAGCTATAGACATTTTGTAACCGAATTCAACACAGAAATGCAGTCAAATATCTCATAAGTTCAAAAAATCAAGTAAATACCTACTGCTTTTTATAAAAATGTAGTTTATGCTAATTTTCCACAAATTTCTTGTTTAGCAGTTACTGCCTTTCTCCATAGTAGGGCAGAATTATCCTTTTTGTTATTGAGTTTCTCATAGTTCTCATCGATATCTGAACGAAATTCTTCTTTCTTTGTGTTACTCTCGTAACGAATAAGATCTACAAAAGATTGTGTGGATGTTCCAAGATTGGAAAATTCACGTGTCTATGGTTGGATGGCTTCTTGAAGCGTATGGAGTCTATACGCTTTACGAAGCCATTCAACCATAGACACGTGAATTTTCCATACTATTGATGTTAAAACTTGTTTCTGGTCAAAATGGAACATTGAAACCCAGACCATTAAGGCTTTTGGCCACCAAGGAAAAAGAAGAAGAGGACTGCTATTTTATATCAGTAATATTGTTTACAAAACAATTAATTAGTCAACAAATTGTTTATAACAACCTAAAAAATTGACGCCAATAAATTTTGAACAATGAGATCATAGATACCACAGACACACAGTCTGTGATAGATACCGTCAACTCACTAGTCACAGTTTTCTTTATACAAAATAATATTTAAAATTTTAGAAATTGTTACATATGTCCGAAATTAATAACTTTAGGTATAGGGAATTTACTTTAATCGATAGGTGTTTTAATTTACCATTTGATTATGTAAAATATACCGGGTGTCACATTTTAAATAAAATAGTTATTAACTTTTTAAGTTAGCCAAATTTGCCCTGGGTTTTCTCAGGTAATTTGTTGAAAAATGGGAAATAATTGACAAGAAATTTTTTAAACAATGTTAAGATTCCAAAAATTTTTCCCCCATATTTGCAAACCCATAACTTTTATAGGCCATTTATGATTGACCCGCATTTGTCAAATTTTAACGAATAAAAGACAAGACATGGTATAGTAATTTTACAGAATTTAAAAATGTAAAAATGTATGTAATAGAAATAACAACGTTGATGTCACCGATTAAACTGGAAGTGGCATTTTGTTTAAAATATTTTAGAAAAAAGGCCTTAAATGGATTATAAACGCTTTTAAATCGATTTTTTTTTCGTTTTTCGTTTTAATGGACCACGAATGTGAAACACCCTGTATATCGCCGACTTTTACAAATAGATTTATCCTATTCTTTACACTTTTTGGCGAGGTTTTTAGATAATTTTCTTCTTAAAAAAATTCAATTTTTTTCCCTGAAGGGATGGGTGTGTTGGATTTTTGTTCCACTCGCTAGAGCCACCTGCATCTTTCATAATTAGGCAGGAGTTCTCTTAGTATTTAGTCTCAGGGTTTTAAGCTTAGTCTTTAACGTTGCTTTGAAATCTTTTTCAATTAGGTGGATTATACAAGACTTCTGGAACATTAAGCTAGTTGACAATTGGAAAAAGTCAAGTTAAAGAAAATCCTGAGATAATTTTAAGGGGTCTGAAGGCGCTTTCCCAAACAAGCTTTAGTCGAATAGCAAAAAAGAAAACTGCGTCATTTTGAAATCACCCCTGAAGACATGACCTCAATATAAGCCTATAAAAAAGACGAGACATTAAATAATGCAAAGTATTCTGTGTTTCTCTATGGCTCCATTACATGCGCATGCGTAGTCTATTTTATATTCTGTTCTGTCACTCCTGTCAGGTGGTGGTATTTTGAATATACTGTCTTGAGTGTATTTGCAAAATTTTGCATTTTTTTAAACAATGTGTATTTTTTTATTTTTTTTTAAATAGCATAAAATCGAAGTTCATTATGTTACCTTTGAATAAAATATAAATTTAGAGTGGGCCCGACATGTAGAAGGGAAATTTTTCATATTTGAATGCGTGCAGGTCTAGCCCTCGAATAGCTACTACACTGCCGCATGCGTTTATACTTAGTAGATGCGAGTAAACGAATACAAAATAATAAGGCAGGACTTGAAACCATATTTATTTGATAACCAATAATATATCATTTGTTTACAAACTTAATATATTATATAAACTTGATTAACCAATATTAAAAAATAAAATTAAAATAGAATTTATCTACTCGCTTATTTAGATTTTTTAGTTTTCGGAAAGATAGTTGTATGGCACGCCGTTTTACTTTTAAATGTCATGTTTATTAAAGCTAAATATTAATTCAAGTTGCTTTTTTAAAAATTTACTGAACATTTTTAAGTAAAATTTTTATGATGTCTTGGTATATTGAGTACACAATTTTAAGCACAGAATAAGAATTAAAGTAATTTTAATTCTGGAACTGAATGGCGTATTTTCTGACTAAAAAATTCGATGAATTAAAATTTTGGTTGAGATAATTTTAATAAGGCGCTACTTGGAGAAACAGGCAGTCAAATTGAAATTATGTAAACCAAAAATTTAATTAATCGAATTTCTTAGCCAATTAATTCAAGGTGCGCAACATTTATGTAAGAAAAAGTAATACTGAAATTATCATTATGTCGCAATTAATTTATATTATTACTTGTCGACATAAAAATCAATTTACCTGTTGGAAATTAAAGTGATAAAGTTTCCTATTCGACACACAAATATTTTGCACGAAATATTTGTTTTAATATTTAAATGTTTATAATATTATTTAAAATTTTATTTGACTAATAAGAATTGAATACAATTTTATTTTTATTGATATTTTTAAAAATTTTAATACTTACTTTTAATACGAATTATTTTGTTGTTTAGAACACTTTGTAACAATTTTTATATGGGAATAAAGTTGTGGTGTAGTTGTTATTAATTATTATGTTATTTAAATCTAGCAATACTAATTTTCATTTAAGAATCTTTCTGCCATATTTCTTTTAATCCGATTATTTTTTTAGATAATAAATTCAATGCTATTTGTATGTGACAGAATAATAATTCCTAATTTTAATTTTTTGGAATAAATATTATGTACCTCGAATTTTCTGACTGAAAAATTCGATGAATTAAAATGTTGGTTATCACTCGTAAACAGAATTTTAATTTGGCGCTAGTGCATATTGCGGTTGTGTTACGTACTACTGCCACCAAGCGAAGGTACATGAGCTCGTAAATAAATTAGGCAACGGTGCATTCAAATTCAGTGCTGTCATTTTATTTACTTACCTGTTTTGCTTTCCTTAATTTCTTATCTAATTTATTGATTAATTTTTTGAAATAAAAATAAAGAAAATCTGTTTTACTAAAATATTGGTTTTTATTGACTAAAAGATAAACAACAATGGAATATTTTCAATCCACCATTAATTACAGGCCCGTTCCTGGCGAGCGTGCAGTGCGTGCACGCACGCAGGCGCAACATTTCGGGGGCGCAAAATCAAAGAGTCAATCAGTACTTATTACGATAAACTTTCTTGCATATGATACTTAAACATACATTGGATAATTTTCTGCCTTTTTTTGCGTCAGCCGCTCTTTTTTTCGGTCGCT